ACGTGAGACACTGGCCGCGTTTGCGATGAAGAAATTTCTAGGCAGCAAATTTGTGCTTCGTGAACGCGAGGCACTGGACGCGTTCGCGAAGAAGAAACCACTGGACAGAATGTTTAAGTTCTCATTTTCCCTTTTTACCAAATTGGAGCTCGGGAATAGGTGATTTTCAGGAGATTTTCAAGGAAAATAATGGGGTAAGCGTTCTTAACTCATTATTGGTCAAATTACCCGAATCCATGGTTATTTTTAACATTTAATTGGTGAATTATGTTGGAAGATTTAGAAAACCCTCTTGGTTTAAATTGAAGATTTGAGGGTCGAGTTGATGTCAGATTTTAGTAAAATTTATATGGTTGAACTCGTGATTGAATGAGCGTTCATATTTTGTAACTTTTGTCGGGTTCCGAGACATGGGCCCCACGTGCGATTTTTGGGTTAAATTTCGGATTTTTGTAGAAAATTTATATTTTCATATGAAATTTATTCTTACAATTTGTATTGATTGAATCGAATTAATTATGACTAGATTCGAGCCGATCGAAGTCGAAAAATCGAGGAAAAGGCATACTATTTGACTGATTGAGCGCGATTTGAGGTAAGTGACCTGTCTAACCTTGTGTGGGGGAAATTTTTCCTAGGATTGGTATTGATGTGATAATTCTAATGTGTCGAAAGTCATGTAAACGAGGTGACGAGTGTGTGCACGGGCTAAATATGGAAGATTATGTCTTTAAATTATGTAAGATTACTGATGCATATTAATTAAATTATTTTATCTTATTATATTCATCATCATTGATCTATTTTATATTCTTAAATTTGCCTGACATTTTTCCTACTAATTGTTTTACTTGTTTAGTTGAAACTTTATTTTCTTTTATTCTGTGCATCATTTGAAGGTTGAATTTTTTTTAATTAAATATTATTAAAAATGAAGTATTTTACATTTAAAAATTTGATGTTAAGTCAAGATGTTAAATTTGTAGAGATATTATTTTTGCTGAATATTTTGTGAAGATTTTTGTATTCATTGTGATTGAGCTGTGAGCTCCGTATTGTGAAAATAATGGATATTATTTTGCTGAATATTTTGTGAGACTTTGTACTTATTGTGATTGAGCCGTGAGCTCCTTATTGTGAAAAATATTCTTGTTGTTGATTTATTTTGGCAAGTTAAAATATTTGGACACTTGAGGTGTAAATTATGATATATTGTGATATTGATAAGCATGCGGTGGTATAAGGTCTGGGTGTTGAAACGCATGCAGTGAGATAAGGGTGGCTTGATACGCGTGGCTAGTAGGGGAACTACTAGAAGTCATGCGGTGTGATAAGGGTGGCTAAAACGCATGATGCTATTTCGGAAAAAATATTTTCTTTAAAATTAAATGTGAAGGCTCCCGTAGTGATATAAGAAAATGAGATATTGTGAAATTATTTATGATTTGGGACTACGAGGCGGTACTTCGGGAGTGCCCTTGTTGATATTTCTTTATGGATGCATTTACCTTTGATTATTGTCGTGATTTTTCTTAAAATTGTAAATTTTTATTTTCTTTCCATGAGGTATTATTTGCCCTTATTCTGTATAATTTAATGGTGACATACTACTTACTTGATTCATTTCCATTGTTATTTATTGTTATTACATTATTTAACATTTCACCATGTCTTTTATTATTCCAGTAGGGCCTGACCTGACCTCGTCACTACTCTACCGAGGTTAGGCTTGGCACTTATTGGGTACCGCTATGGTGTACTCATACTATGCTTATTCACATCTTTTTGTGCAGATCCATGTACTTACTACCAGTCCAGATATCAGTGAGCTACATGTGTACGGAGACTTCGAGGTATATCTGTCAGCGTCCGCAGACTCCGGAGTCCCCTTCTATCCTTATTATGTTGCTTCTTTATTTTCTTTAGACTCTGATATATAGAGACATTGAGAAATTTTTTTTATAAGCTTGTGACTTATTCCTACCGGATTTTGGGAGTTGAAATTATTAAATTGTAGTTTTTATTTATTTGACTGTTAAGGATTAAATTTCAGTTTTATATTCAGTTATTCCGCATTGATAGGCTTACCTAGCCTTAGAGACTAGATGCCATCACGACATCCTACGGAGTGAATTTAGGGCTGTGACAGTAGGTGTCTTGACCTGGCCTCGTCATACTCTACCAAGGTTATGTTTGATACTTAGTGGGTACCGTTGTGGTATACTCATACTATACTTCTGCACATTTTTATGGAGATCCAGGTACATCCTCCTGTGTCGGATGCCAGTGATTGTTCAATTATCTTTTTGGAGGTTTCAAGGTATACCTGTTCGACGTCCGCAGGCCTCGGAGTCACATTCAGTCATTACTCCTAATATTGTTTATCTTCTATTTAGACAGTATTATATTAGAGATTTCTAGATTATTTCTATAGAGCTTATGAGGTTCGTGTGATGTTATTATTTCTATGGTTTTTATTGATGGTATTGATATATTATCTCTTTTCGTTTTCTTGAGCCGAGAGTCTATCAGAAACAGTTTCTCTACCCCCTCGGGGTAGAGGTAAGGTATGCATATACACTACTCTTTCCAGACGCCACTTATGAGATTTTACTAGGTTGTTGTTGTTGTTGTATAGAGCTTATGACTCAGTTCCACCCGTTTTGGAAATTTTGCTACAGATGTTTTGTTTGGGAGTTATTATGAGTTTTATCAATTTATTTTATCATCTTAATTCGTTATTTTTGTTAAGTTATTCATGAATATTAGGCTTACCTAATTTTAGAGAATATGTGCCATTACGACTATCTTAGGTGGGATTTTGGGGGCGTGATAATTTATAACTAAGACCTCACTATAGTGGAAGAATCTGGTTGGGCCTTTCTTGTGTTCACGCTGAAGGGGGGAATTTGCATCTATACCCGCTTTTTGGGTCACGTTTTAACTTATACCCGCTTTGCAAAAAGAATTACAAGCGTACCCACTTTTTGCGTAACTTCAGGCAGACGGGCCTGAAGTAGCAAAAATTTTTGCCTGAAGTGTAGCAAAACTTCAGATATTTTTGCATGAAGTTTGGCCTGACTTGCAAAAGCAATCACGCAAACTTCAGTTCATAGTGCAAATGGCAAACTTTAATTCAATAAAACAACATCATGTGTTGCTGGACTTAAGCATTCTAGTAGCTGAAGTTGTGTTCTGTATTTGTGGAACTTCAGCATGTTTTAGCTGAAGTTTTGTCCTGTATTTGCTGAACTTCAACATGTTTTAGCTGAAGTTTTGTTCAATATTTGCTGAATTTCAGCATGTTTTAGCTGAAGCTTTGTTATGTTTGTCATGAACTTCAGGACTGAAGTTTATTTTGTATTTACTGAACTTCAACATTCTAGGAGCTGACGTTTTTGTTTATATTTGCTGAACTTCAGCATTCTTAGAGCTGAAGTTTTTGTTTATATTTGCTGAACTTCAGCATTCTTAGAACTGAAGTTCTAAAACAACAATGACAAGTTGTCATTAAGATCTAGTTGCTAACTACTATTTATTATATATTTTAGCCTTAGAATAATGGAATTATCAGGAAATTTGAAAAACAATACTCATATAAAACAAGACCATTAGTAAAAGCACATGGAATCAAACGTGTTTCAGTAGCAATTAAAATTAGAATTCTTCAGCATTCTAAAAAGGAAGGAGGAATTGAAGGTGTTTAAACAGTGGGTACAAGTTAAAACTTTTAAAATAAATGGGTATATGTTAAATGGGGGCGACCAAATGGAGCGCCTCGTTCAATTTTTACACGCTGAAGACATTTGCAGGAGTCAACAAAGTTGACTATCCCTCGCTATCGCGACCAGTCCTTCGCCATTGCGATGGCCGGCCCATAAGCGAGGCAAAGGCGCAATCGTGATCTAGCACCATTAAACATCACATTTTCAGCAGCTATTTTCATATGAAAATTTTACTTAATTATGATATATTATAAACTTATTTACTTATACAAAATAGGTTATCACTTATAAATTTTAAATTTTAACTTGACCGTGAAAGTGTCTAAACTTTTTCGGCCTCAACTTAAATCGTACCGGTAAGTCATAAATTATAGTGGGACATCTGCATCTATACCCAATTTTAGGATCACCATTGAAGTTATACCCGCTTAGCATAAAATTTTACAAATCTACCCACTTTAGGATCAACTTTAGACTTATCGGGTCTAAAGTTAAAGAAATTTTTTTTAGTCTGAAGTGTAATGTACTTAAGGCCAATTAAAATTAAAGTGTAATTTTTACACTTAAATGCACTTAAGGCCAAATAAGTTTGAAGTGCAACTAATGTTTTCATGCACTTACGGCCAAATGGGTCTAAAGTGCAAATTATCCAGAAATAGAAACTTGTTCTTCGAATTTCAACAATCCAACACATGATTCAACACCTAAACCTACTCCAAATGAGCTCAATTAAAACATAACCTCCAAATATCATAAAGAACATAACCACATTCATCAACTTACCAAAATAACAATAAATCTAACAAACTCATTTTACAATTAAGAAGAAGAAGAAGCCTTAAGCAATAGCAAAGAAAGGAATGTCACAACAACTCACTACTATAAAATATTATAAATCACCTTAAAATTTGCTCACAAACTCCATGTAAATCCATCGTCACCTTCGTTTTCGCAGAGACAAATAAGAAAAAGAAAAAAAAAAAGGAGGAAAAGGCATAAAATTATTTGTACTTTGGATATTAGTTAAACTTTTTTTTAAAAGTAGTACAGGTTAAATGGCGACCATCAAATAAAGTGTCCGTAAATATTTACAATTATAATTCCAACCTATAGGAATCAAAAATTCACAAAACGAGTGAGGTCGGGTTATTACAGTAAGGCTAGGAATTTAGAGTAGTTTTTAGTTTCTAAAAAAGCTTTCTAATGCAAATTTTTCTTTCTATACTTGCATCTTTTTTTTGGTAAGTACTTATAGTCGACTATAAATGAAGGGAAAAAAAAACGTAGTCGACTGCAAATGTTCTAGATCTTTCTGGATTTTTATACTTCATCTTCCCGTCATTTCTACATAACATCTTCAATCTGTTGTTCCTCTATCTTCGTCCCTTTTCTTCCGTCTGCATAAACCCACCAAAAACCCTATCATATATGTTAAAATCGAAAGGTACCCATTAATTTTCTCCGTCGCTGTATAGCTGGGACAAATTCACAACTTCAGGTACAGAATCAACTCAATTTTTAGTACCCTCTACATTCTGTTTTTGTTACTAACTGTCAATTATTTTCCTTTTTTTTTATATGGTGTTGTATTCAAGGGTCAGAATTAGTCTGGAAAAGAACTTGCCATAAGAATCATCTTTTAAAGTTTGGGAGTAATTATGACCTGAGTAGAATGAAATAGATACAGATAATTCATATGGTGGATTCTAACTAATTTGGGATTGAGGCTTAGTGGATTGATTTACTTTTATGGTGATTCCAGTGGAAATTTTGTGGGTTTTAGCTTATTAAGCTCTGTCTTTAGCTGATGGTTTTCCCATAAAACCTCCTCATAGAGCTATGGTAGTTTCAAGTATGGCATAATTATTGTGAATTTGTGCTAGAGCTAGGTTTAAAATCTGGATGTTGTAAAAGGGGATGTGATAAGTTCACTATACCATTTTGGCGTGAAGTGTGCCTTCAAGGGGCTATCTTGCTAAAGAAAATTTCCTCCTTATGCGGATCACAGATGAGTTTTCATGGGTTTTTTTTCTTTCAGTTTCCTGTAAACCAGTTTGTTAACACATCATTTTATATTGAATCAGCATTCCCTTTTTAATGTCCTTGGTGTGTTATTTGTATGTTTTAGTTGGTTCAACTTACACGTTTACACTTCTATGTCCTAGTTCCACATGCTTTGATGTTTCCAGAGTTGAAAAGTGAACAAGGATTAATGCTATTACGTATGATCTTTGTTTTAAAAGGCGTTTCTGGGGCGAGCCCCGGGGCGAGGCGTACCAAAAACGCCCCGGGGCGATGGTGTGGGGCGAAAGTCTCAAGAGGCGTACGCCCGGGCGTTCGGGGCGCATTTTTTTAGTAAGGAGTAAGCCCCAGAGACTTTTTCAAATTAAAACAAAATTTGTTGAATTAGTCATTCATATAATACCCAAATTCTCAAAAGTCAGTTTGGTAATTACTCAAAAGGTTTAAAAAGGAACTCAAAAGTATTAAATTTAAAAGTAAAGACTTTTTTTATTGATTTAAGCCCTAATTCATGGTTTTCCCAATTTTTTATCTTATCCACTAGTTTGCTAATATCTCCCAAAAGCAACGAATATTTAATTTTTTTTACAAATAGAAAGAGAATTACATTTTTCTTCATAGCAGCAAATTCAAAGTTCAAATTGCAGGTTAATCATCCTTTTTGTTCCTCCATATAGAAAACTTTATTCTTTTAGACTCAAATTACTTGTGCTTGTAAGTAACGTATAATAGATTGTTTTGATTAGTTTTTTGTGGGGATGGAGCACACATATATATAGTTTTCTTCAATTTTTATGCAATTTTACCTGTTTATAAATATTAATTGTCATTATATTATTTTATAAAATATTAAAAATTAAATACCTATGGGGCTTACGCCCCGCTGAGGCATATGTAAAATGCCCCGCCTTACGCCCACGCCTTTTAAAACACTGCGTATGATTGTAAATTTAACTGGTTTATTGCGTTGTATATTATCATGTCCAAATTTTGTATTATAGAAAGAAAGGAAAAAAGAGGTAGTTTTTTCACCCTTTTATTTAATCTAATAGAGTTGGTGTAAAAGGATGACTCCCAAATGTTGTCCCGACTCCTGGGAATATTTAAATCTAATTTTGTACTCTAGAAAGAAAGAGGGGTAGTTTGTCCACCCTTTTGGTTAATCCAATAGAGTTGGTGTAGGAGGATTGGTCCCTAGTGTTTTCCTAGGTATACTTTATACGCACCCGATGTTTACACCAAACTGAACAATTTATCTTTGGAGTCAAATTTATGAGAATACATATCACTTAATCGTTCTGTAGTAATAAAACTTAGTCGTTGTGTGATAATAAAAGTGTACATGCAAGACACATCTTGCGTCCATTAGTTTGGTGTAAAGTGTCGTGTGCGGGTAAGTTTTCTTTCAGATTTTGATCTTAGATTGCTCCCTAATTTTCCTTTCTTGCATTCTTTGATTTATGTTCTTAAAGTAAGTTTAGGCCATGCAGCAGTATCAGATGCGTCTTTTTGGGGCTTTTTGCAAGAATATATGAGCTTTTCTCTTTTCATTGTGCATTTTGCTAACATAATTTCAAAGGTTGTGAGCAAGTGTGACTTAATTTTGCATTGTTTTTGTGTGGAACGCAAAGTAGCAACTTTAAATTAGATTATGATCTTTACCTAAAACTACAATCTAGGCAGTTTTGTGCAACTTCAGATATCTTATGGCTGTTTTCAGTTTGAATCAATTCGAAACATCGGCTTGTGGTCGGTCAGATGTTGCTCTGAGTTTGAATCAATTCGAAACATCTGCTTGTGGTTGGTTAGATGCTGTGAAAATCTATTTCCTAACCGCAGTTCCTTTCTTCTTCTCATCAGGAAAAAGGCACAAGAAATAAAGTAACTAACAATGTTTGGAGTGGTGTTCCCGAACCGAAGCTTCCCTATGGATATCTCCACCTTTGCTCAAATTGGCACAACCCATTGGGTCCTTGACATGAACACCTTTGTTGGTAAGTTCCATCACACACAATCGAAGACTGTTTATGCTTTTCGCCTGACAGTTCTAACGTTACGCGTGCAGGGGAAGCATACGATTCAATTCGGGAAGTCTGCATATTCCTCATCAACAACTTCACGCTGCCACCAGACAAGGCCCTCGCTGTGTATATCCAATCCCCTGGCTCACCTTTCCTCTTTTGTGGTGCAGTCACGCTGACACGACCCTCTGCCGTGCTGTCGCTCCCTTGGCCAGAGCCCGGTGGCCAACTGCAGCTCACTGCCGATGCAACTCCAGTCTCTGCCAAGATAGGTGTCTCAGTTGAGGACCTTGCAGCACTTCCCTCCCTTGATGTCACTGCAGAGAAGAAAATCGAGAGGTTGGCATTGAAAGTTGGTGAAAACTTGTTCAATTTTATGCAGTCGTTTTGTGGGGTGGATGGCAGTAAGCTGGTGGTGCCTATGGATATATTGGATCGCTGGTTCAAGAAATTCCAGGAACGAGCAAAGCGAGATCCAGAATATTTGAAGGGCTTCGCGTTGTAGTTCGAGTGAGACGTTTATTTCATGTTTGAAGGTTCCACTATTTTCCTTTGGAGGATAGTGATGAGAATATGAGGGCAACTGATATGCTTAGGTGCTAAATATAATGCGCTTAGCAATGAAAAGCGAATCCTTGGGTCTTTTTCATCCCCTGGTTAACTGTTGTAGGATTGTGGTGTTTCATTTTCAGAATATGGTTAACTTTGGGCGGTAGCCATTGTCTAATGTTGGTTTTTAGAAAAAAGTCTCAATAATATCATATGAATTGCAGTGGAAAGTGTAAAGCAGTTCTCTTTGTTGTACTGATTATGTTCAGAACGTTTTTTTCGTAAATTGAGTAAAGAGAAAAGGTAAAGGCAAGGAAGTGGAATGTCGAATATTTGGGAAAACCTTTTATTTTGTAAAGTGTACTCCCTCCGTTACTTAGAGTTACAATCACAGAAATTAAGGACAGATAGTCCTAAACTTAGAGTTACAAGAATAAAAACTTAGACATACAAGTTCATAAATTAAAGACAGCTAGTCTTGAACTTACAGTAACAAGTTCATAATTTAAGGATACTTGGTCCTAAACTTAGAGTTGGAAGTTCAAAAATTAAGGATACTTGGTCCTTAACTTAGAGTTAAAGCACATAAATTAAGGAGACAGGTAGTCTTAAACTTAGACTTACAAGCTCATAAATTAAGGATAACTAGTCCTGAACTTACAGTAATAAACTCATAAGTTATTATAAGCAGAAGTGTATTTTTATTCGGGCGAGTAAAAGTTTATTATAGGAGTGACTAAAGACATTTTAAACAGTAGCTTAAAAAAAGTGTATTTTCATTCGGGCGAGTAAAAGTTTATTATGGGAGTGACTAAAGACATTTTAAACAGTAACTTAAAAGTAAATAAGATGTCTTATTACTAGCTAGCTGTTCACTTCCCGAAAACAAACAGATAAATTGGGCCCGTGGACTCGCAAAAAGCCCAAATGTCGTCTGGTCTAATGACCCGCCACGACTCTCCCTTTGTCAGCCAATACACTCCTCTTCATCTCTGTAATTTCCTCACCCAACTCTTTCTACGGTGAAGCTCTGTTGTAAGTTCCCTAAACCCCATTTCCAATTATTCTTTAATGGTAAAATGTGAATTTATCTCATGTGATAACAAGTATGTGATGGTGTAATGTGCCTCTTATTATTAGTAATATAGGTGATTCTGAAAAGAAAAAGTGCTTATCGTGTTATCAGGAGATTTTTATTCTTCTGCTTCTATATATGGACCTTGAATACTTTTTATTGCACTTTAAACTTTGTTGTAAAGTGGAGCTTTATTTGGTCTTTAATTTAGGAGTAAGAAGCTTAAGAAGGTGCAAAGATAGCTCTTTTCCTGTATTATGAGCTCATGTAAATGAGTGAGAAGTCTCTTTATGAGTATCTAACACCCGACCTGCTTTTTTATGTGTGAAAGTGTAGATTAGATGTGGCGAAAATAGATCATTATTGTGTAATCGGCCGAACCTGCCTGAACTTAAATGGGTTGTGTTATTATTAAAACAGCTAATGGGTTGACCCAACATGACCCATGAACATAGTGGGTCAGAATTGGGATTAAATCATGTAACCCGGCGGGTTGAAATTCCACACAACCCAACAGGTTTAGTTTCTCATTTACTGATATCTCATAGAGATCAAGCTCTTCTGACTTCCTCTATCGGTTTCTCAAAGAGACCCAACGGATTAAGGTACTGGATTTTATGCTGGTATATCTGATGCTGGATTTGATTTGTATTTTTTCTTCATCAAAAGTGATGTTTTTCTTTTATTTTCTTTTCTTTTCCGTGTTGGAGTTAACTTTGATTAATGTAATATTGTGAATTCTGATGATATCAATTAGTCATGTAAAGTTTTTATGCATTTGATAATGTGTGGTTCTAGAACACTTGGTGAATTGAATGAAGTGTGTTGATTTCTTGTTTCACTGTCTAAAGTTTTAGAGGCAATAACAAAAAGAAAAAGAAAAGCATTCTAATGAAAATAGATACTGCTTGAATTATCACTTCTCATTTTTCGGCAATCATATTTATAAGCTTTTAGTGATATTTAGATGTATTATTTCATTATTTTAATATAACGTACAGCTTAGAATACTTATCAGTTAGTTTACAAATATCGATACTTTACTTTTAGAAAATGAACAAACCTATTTTCAATTACCGGTAAACAAAAGTGACAATATAAAATCAAGGGAGTACATTTTCTTTCAGAACACTCTGAAAACATTGAAGCACCTTGTTTATAGGTGTTCTAAAACCATATATTATGTTTCAAGTCTTACGTTGCACTGGGGTTAGCTTTTATACTTGGTAAGGTTCTCATATTTATAAGGAAGGAAGTTTTTTCAATGTTGGGTTGGGTTATAATATTATTTGCCCCATCTTTGACCAACCCGTTTTGACCCAAGCAAACTTTGGGCTAGTTGGGTTATGAACCATTTATTGATTTGACCTGCTTTGACCCCAAGTTAGACCCAGCCCACCCATTTGCCACCTCTTACTGTAGATACTTTATGTTATTTTGTCTACCGTCTTCAGCAGCAAAGCAACATAATATGCAGTTCTATTAATTGGGGTGTAATATCTTTTCCTACAGATGCTGTTGAATGTATTTTGATTACGGGGTAGCTTCCAATTTCTCGGAAGATGTCACTTTCTAGGCTTTCTGGAAGACTCAATCTTTTTCTTTCTTTAAACAGGACTCATTATTATCCACTTTCCGCATCCAGGTGAGTGATGAGCTATTTCGTTTTTCACTTGATTGTTCTTTTGTAATGGCATATATGGTTGCTTCTTTGCAAGTTTGCATAGCAACGAGTTAATAATGGTCGTCGATTGTGTCCCAAGTTGCTCAATCTATTCCTCTTTGATTCAGGGACTATCTTGGAATTGTAGTGTCAAAAGATAGAAACCGTGGGCCAATTGACATCAGACATGGACAACTCTTTGGTCTTGGATGTCGAGGTTTCACATCAAGGTGTGAGTTTAAAAGATCTACACTTCATAACTGTAAAGGGTTGCCTTTTTTAAGAGGGCAGAGTACAGTTAGGGCTTGGCCAATGTTGAATCTTCATCATCATTATGCAACTCAGGCTACTGCAACAGAGAAGAAATCAAAGAAGATGCTCTTTTACTTGACAGGTTTAGTTTTTGCGATGGTGGGGGCTAGTTATGCTGCAGTTCCTCTGTACAGGAGATTCTGTCAAGCCACAGGATATGGAGGTACAGTTCAACGTCGGGAGGTAAGTTATTCTTTATTGATCTGGTTGTAGATAGGCTGTCGGAGTTCTCTTGAAAGTAATGAAAATTACCACCTTACAGAGTGTTGAAGAAAAGATTGCACGGCATGCGAAAGATGGAAGAGTTACTTCCAGGTATTTTCATATGGTGCTTGACTGAAGATCCTTTAAATTGTAATTTGCAACTATTTTTGGTTTATGAAACATTTGAAAGTTTTTTTAGTTGTTAAGATAAGTATTATTGATATAACAACTGAGTAGAGAAACTGAGAAATACATTTGCAATTGCTACATTACACAAAAAAAGTAGAGAAAAAAATATGCACTTAGTGCTACTCACAGATTCGGGTTCGCGTTAAAAAATTCTTGCATTCCTTTCCTCCCAAATGGTCCACCAGACTGTTGCAGGAAGTTGGTTTGAAGTCTTCATCTTTACCTTTCCCAGCCTTTTCCTTGACTAGCATTGCAGTAACTCTTTAGTTGTCCTCGATATTGACCAGTTAACCCCAACAATATTCAGAATAAAGTCCCATATCTGTGTGTTGAAGGAGCAGTGAATAAAAAGGTGGTTGACACCCTCAGTTTGCCTTTCGCACAGTGAACATCTGCTGCAAACGTTAACCCCTCTTCTCTGTAGATTTCCTTGAGTTAGACACACTCATTGGGCCACCAACCATGTGAAACATTCCACCTTCTGAGGGGCTTTGATCTTGCAAATATGCTTCCATGGCCAGTTAGGGATGGTAACATTAGAGTTGCCTCAGAACAACCTCTAACAGTGAACCTTACTTTAGAGTCACCTTTCCACAGTAGAGAGTCAGGTTTGGTTGGCAATAGCATGCAGTTCTGTAGCTGGAGCATAGGGAGGTGACACTGTCCATTTTCCGATCATTGATGCTGTCTGAAAATGAAGTTCCAGCAGTGCTCATTCCAGTAATCAGAGATAGTAGCATTCTGATTTCTTTCAATACCGAAAAGAAGAGGAAATTGCTCCGTTAAACTTGATTCCCCAAGTCAAAGATCCTTCAAGAAAGCTATCTTCATGCCATTTCCAGCTTGCAGTGAGGAGTTGGAATGAAATGAACTCCAGTGATTTCTGGGTTATCAAAAATGAATGTAATTTCTGATGTGTCTCCATAAACCATAGGGACCGTGATTATGAGATTGTTTAGTAGTCCACGGGTTTAGTAGTCTGTATTTAACTGCAATAATGGTTCCCCGAAGTGCTTCTTCCTCCTTGCTGAATCTCCAGAGCCATTGTTGTAATAAACTGGAGTTTGAATCTTCAAAAATTCTTTACTCTTTAAGGCAACCCATTTTCCTGTCTGTAGTAGCTTTCTCCCATCTTACCAAATTGAAAGTTCTATGTTTTTTTGTTCCCTTTCCACAAGAACTCTCTACGTAGTTTATCTAGTCTTTTGGCCACGGAAGCAGGTATAGGGAACAGGCTTATTTGAAACCTTTTTCCTCCCAATTCTTTATGTCGTCTTGCCTAATAGATAGTGCTTTTTAGTGAAGCAAATACTACAGAGAACTTGTAAAACTGTCAGATAACAGTTCCATAGCTTTTTTGCCATCTTTTTAGTTATTCTAACTTTCAACTAGAAGTGCAATCTTTTCATTCGAGAATCTGCTTTTTTGAAGTTGAAATACCAGTTTGCTGCAATGCGTTTTCTCTCTTGCATCTCATGCATGCAGTTGTGCGGCCAATATCATTATAGAAGTATTCGAGTTCCGAATATCTATTTATCTTTTCTTTTGGGGTCAAATTTTGACACTAATGGGATTTCTAGTATCATATATTTTTAAAGGAAGATTCTTTTTTGTTGTTCTGCATCACATTTTTTATCTAGCTCTTGTATATGGCCATAGGGAGATTGCTGTACAATTTAATGCTGATGTAGCAGATGGAATGCCTTGGAAGTTTATTCCGACACAGCGAGAGGTGCCTTTTCTGTTATAGGCATGTGCTATGTTCGTAAATAGTTAGTCAACGTACTTATTGTTTGGCATGCTTTCTATTTCCACTTGATGTCCTTCTCCTTGTCTTGCTATGCAGGTAAGAGTAAAACCGGGAGAGAGCGCTCTTGCCTTTTACACGGCTGAAAATCGAAGCTCGACTCCTATTACAGGCGTATCAACATACAATGTTACCCCCATGAAGGTATACATTTATATAATCAGATGTCAACGTGTTTTCCCCACTCCCTCCTAGTTCTCCACCATCCAATGCAAACTTTAGACATTTTATGTGAACTTGAAGATAGAACTTCCTAGTCCCTCCACCTATTGTTATATTTTCAATGTTTCCTCTTTGGAACATCTAAAAACTCTAGGTTCTTCTTATCATACTGATAGTTTTTCTGTTAAACTAGTCTTCTAGTTATGAGTCTACTCTCAAAAGAACGTATTATAAGTCATAAACAATTTTTTTTTTAAGTATTGAGCTATGATGCCACCGTGTGAGAGTGATCTTTCATTGATGTTGGCACCAACATGGTGCTACTCACTTTTGTTCAAAAACATTTACCAACACTAGGGTTTTAACTATACCATAAGTAACATAACCGCCGTCCTTCCCTCTCTCGCCTACCCCGACCACCAATAAAAAGGAAAGGAAAAAGAGTAGAAAAGATAGAATGACTACTAGGACTAGGGGTGTCAAATGGGTTGGTTGGGCTGAAGCTGTTCAAAATGGGTCAAACCAATAAATGGAAGGGTCATTAACCCGCCCCAAGGTTACTTGGGCTAAAAGGGGTTGGGCTGAAATGCGTTGGGTCGTGACCCATCCAACTTGACCCAATTTTTGTCCTTTTTTTCGAACAAATTAATTACTCACTCATTCCACAAAACTAAAAAAGTACTATAGTATCTTGAGATAAGAAATACAAAAATGAAATTATCGCACTACTTATTTTTAACATAGCTATCAGTGGAATAGGCATAAGAACCCCCTGAACTAAGGTTGGATTTCCAGCTACACCTAATCTTTGTAGGGGTCCTATTACCCTCCTGAACTATTTCGAAATGGAATTAATTCCACCCTAGGCGCTAATGTGGCAGTAAGTGAAATTCACTCTCTTTGAGAGAGTGAGATGCAATAAAAATGTAAAGAATTATTTTTTAACATTTTCTATAGTAAATATATATTTCCTACTCCTTATGTCCCAATTTATATGGCACCGTTGGGATTTTAAGAGACAAATTTCTTAATTTTGACCGTGAATACGGACATAGAATTTTTAAGTTTCTTGAAATAAAATTTACATATTTGAAAACTAAGTAAAAAGTACTACAAGCACCACAATTAACAATTCAAAATATTTAAAAGCTATATGAAAAAATCACGGTAAAAAAAACTCGTTTGACTTTTGAAATCCGAATGGTGCGATATAAATTGGGACAGAGTCATTCTCTTCTCTTTATACGGTGGATGTGAACTATTATCAAAGATCCATTTGCCAGATAACCTAATCACACGTTTCCGACATTTATTCTGGCCATCGGTCTCCGGTTTGAAGAATCTTTGTTTCCACTATACTTCAAAGTGGAGTGGCGAGCACTAGATTTATCCAAGCATTTGTGTTTTTTCACAAAATATTTAAAATAAATTATGAGTACAAAAAAAGGGTCGTTATCTTTGTTATGACCTTAAGGATTTCTTTGGAGGGTGTGGTTTACAGCGTGCCTAGATTGAAACAAAGGGTCTTGCGTGGCTGTGGATGTATTATCACAGGCGGTGTGTTATGAATGGAATTTTTGAATGTTTCTTTTTATTATAGAGGATGGAGAAAATGATGAAGATGAAGAAGATACGAGTGTAATTAGAGGATATTATGTTCTCTTTTTCAATAGGGTGCGTCTCAAAATGTTAAATGAAGATGCGACAACCCGGAAATGACACCTCCGACCAATCTCCGACAAATGTGAATAGTGGAGGAAAAAAGGAAGGAGGGAAAAAAAAATTAATGGGTGAAATACACATTTCAAGCGTGTGTACTTCTCCACTAGATAGATTACTGGTTGTGACTTTTCAGGGTGGAATTAAATCCACTTTGAAATAGTTCAGGGGGATAGTAAGACCCCCATGAAGATTAGATGTGCAAGAGGGTATTTATGCCTTTTCTCTAGATATCATACTATAATTTTTTTCAACACAGATATCATGACTTAGCCGAGCATTAGCAAAGCTAGATTCTTATAGCGAGGCGCTTCGAGTTAGCGAAGCGCTGTAGTAGCGTCGAAGCCCTATGTGCTATAATGCTGAGCCAAGAACGCTCTGCCTTCTCTATAGAAGTAGTCAACTGAGTTCTGAACGAATTAGCTCCTTGGTAATGGCTTAATCAGACTACAATTTTTTCAACATGGATATCAGACTACTTGGATCAAGCTAAAATTACATAAAAACAGTAATGACGGAACTTATTAACAATTAATACAGAAGGCTATACGCTCAGATAAATTTTGAACTATGCAGAACAATCATCACACAATCAAGATAATTAAAACATACTACTATGCTTCTCTAAGTAATATTCAGATGAATCACCAGGGGGGAGGGGGTGTTAATTCCGACGAACATCTAGGATCTCTAAATGGGAAAGCAGAGGCACTTACCAACATTTAATTACATATACAGTACTGTGTTAATACAACAATAACTTCAGATTGAACATTTTCAAATCCCATAGGCATAATATGTAAAACGTATATGTCCTAAGGGTCATGCTCTCAAACTAATGAATCAAAACATCAGTACAATTAACTTAACATATACAGAAGCACATGTACATAAAGAACTATAGAGGATGCAGTCAGGGATTCTTGCACTCAAGTCGTAAAAGAAAGAAAAGAAGCAAAAGCAAGAATTGTCTTTGTGCGTTTTGGCCTAAAAAAAATGGGGTCAAAATCACAAAGATTTTCTTTGGACTTGGTGAGACCTTATGTGGGCTCTGAAGATTGACATGCTAAAAGTACAATTGAGAGCTCTTGCACAAAGATGGAATGGAAGTCATTCGTCCTTGGTGGTGACAGTCGACAACTTTCGCTAACGAAAGAATATGAGAGATAGAGGCACCGCATATGGCAGGGAAATGAGCAATATGCATTTGAGGCATGTGTCTATTGTATGTATATGTGTGTGTCGCACGTTCTGAGCTACATTGCACGGACTCTCCTGATGCGGTACCCGTGTCGGATCCTCCAAAAATACACTACTTTTGCAGGATTTGACTCGCATCTAGCGACATTTTCAGAGAGCCTGAGCAACATAGGTTCTTAGGCTGCTACGAAGAACTCACCAGCTTCTCTAATTTGAAAACTATAGGATGCAGTCAGAGATTCTTGCACTCAAGTCGTAAAAGAAAGAAAAGAGGCAAAAGCGAGAATTGTCTTTGTGCGTTTTGGCCTAAAAAAAATGGGGTCAAAATCACCAAGATTTTTTTTGGACTTGGTGAGACCTTATATGGGCTCCGAAGATTGACATACTAAAAGTACGATTGGGAGCTCTTGCACAAAGATGGAATGGAAGTCATTTGTCCTTGGTGGTGACAGACGACAACTTTCGCTAACGAAAGAATATGAGAGATAGAGGCACCGCATATGGCAGGGAAATGAGCAATATGCATCTGAGGCATGTGTCTATTGTATGTATATGTGTGTGTCGCACGTTCTGAGCTACATTGCACGGACTCTCCTGATGCCGTACCCGTGTCAGATCCTCCAAAAATACACTACTTTTGCAGGATTTGACTCGCATCTAGCGACATTTTCAGAGAGCCTGAGCAACATAGGTTCTTAGGCTGCTATAAGGGTGACAAGTGGGCCGGTCCTGGGCCTAAACGGGCCAAGTGGGCCGGTCCCAAACGGTCCCAGGCCAAACGGTCTTTTTGTAGGGATCGGCCCGGGACTGTTTGGTCCCGGGTTAAACGGTCCCGGCCCGCGGGCTGAATGGGCTAAGTGGGCCCAACGGATTTTTAAAAAAAATTAAATAGAAATTATAGAGAAAAGGATGTTAAAATTATATATAGTTCTATAAGATGTAGTGCTATATTAATACTTAAGTTGTAGCAACAACAACATATGTATACATATGCTATATTAACATATACATATTAATGCTAAATTATATCATGTTTGCTGGTTGGTGGACAAAAGACATTTATCGAATAATTAACAATAATCTTGAGAATCTTATCGAGCAATCAAGAAAATTTTTGTGCTTTGCAAATTATTTTATAATAATGTTTAGAGCCCTGTGAGACTTTAATTAACACATGCTAAGGATGAGACTTACGAGGTAATGGTTGCAATTGTTCACACTTCAGCAAACAATTAGACAACAATTAAGTAAAGTAACCTTTTTTAACTTACTTTTTCCTTATTTTTACTATTTTTTTAACATCTTATTCTTTTTAGAAAATCTCTACTTCTTTGGATGCTTTTAAGAAAAGATATGAAATGATTCACTTAAATTCAGTTAGCCTGCAACCATTTCCAAGTTTAGTACTCCTATTTAAATCACCTATAGATATTGTATTTAAGAAGAGTTTGAATTCGAAAACTGCCATTACATGAAATATTTACACAGTCAGAAAGTTAAAAGCTAATTAAAGATAATACTTAAGTTGTAGCAACAACAACATATGTATACATATTAATGCTATATTTACATATACTATATTAATATATGCTATATTCATATGTTGCTAAAATTTAAATATTAATATATATAGTACTACATCTTATAGAACAATTTTTTTTTTTTTTTTTTTTACAAAAGTTGACCGTTGGGATCGTTTGGCCCGCGAAGGGACCGGTTCGGTCCCTGCCGGGCCCAAAGCATAGGACCGGCCCAGGCCCATTAAAACCGATCCTAACGGTCCTGGCCCGCGGTCCCGGGCCGGTNACCGGCCCACTTGCCAGCGTTAGGCTGCTACGAAGAACTCACCAGCTTCTCTAATTTGAAAACTATAGGATGCAGTCAGGGATTCTTGCATTCAAGTCGTAAAAGAAAGAAAAGAGGCAAAAGTGAGAATTGTCTTTGTGCGTTTTGGCCTAAAAAAAAATGGGGTCAAAATCATCAAGATTTTCTTTGGACTTGGTGAGACCTTATGTGGGCTATGAAGATTGACATGTTAAAAGTACGATTGAGAGCTCTTGCAC